ATTTATGAATACAGAACTGGGGTACAGGCCAGAGGTGTGGGGGAGGGTGGGAGGAGTTATCAGAACAGAATGGGGAGCAGAACAGGCAGATCAATGAAGTACACTGCTGAAGGGAGCAGCGGGTGGTTCATGAAAGGTCTGTCACTCCATGTGGGTCACCTCCCCGGCAAGGGATCGAACTCATGTTGCAGTGACTATGGATAGCTTCACAGTGATGTGCTTTACCCTGTTGCGCCACGGGGGAGGGCCCTCATCAAACATAAATTTAACTACTGATTTGCAGAAAACACAGAGGACAGAGGAACACATTAAGTGACAAAATTCAGATGAGATACAGTCAGCTCAAAGGACCTGGTTTCTACAACCAAAACAAAAAAATTGCAAAGAATGAGAGAGGGATGGATGTATTGAAAAGAATTTTAAGAGAACTACTAATTGCAATGTCTGTATCTTAATTCAAATAAACTATAAAATGTGTAAGACAGTAAGTTAACTGTAAAAACTACTAGGTAACTGGTATTAATTGTTCTGTTTATGTGTTGCCTATGAAATAAAGAGCAGCTTTATTTTTAAATACTTTTTTTAAAAAAAAGATTTATTTATTTATACAGAACTGGGGTACAGGCCAGAGATAAGGAGGGTGAGAGGATTCACCAGAGACAGAGAACAGGCAGATCGACTAAGTACACTGCTCTACACTGCTGAGGGGAGCAGCAGGTGGGTCAGGAGAGGTCTGCCACACCATGTGGTCACCTTTGGGGCAGGCGGGGATCAAACTCATGCGGAAGTGGCCTTAAGCCTCTTAGTGCAGTGCTTTAACCTGCTGTGCCACCAGGGAGGGCCCTATTTTTAAATACTTTTAATTTACTTATGCATACAAGAACTGAGGTACCAACCAGAAGTGGGAGTTCACCAGAGACAGAGTGGGGAACATAGCAGCTGGATTGACTGAAATATACTGTTAAGGGGAGCAGCAGGGCAGGTCAGGGGAGGTCTGCTGTGTCTTGTGGGTTAGATCCCTGGCCGGGGATCAAACTCATGCTGCAGGGGCTGCAGACAGCTTCATAGTGCTGCGCTTTATGCACCACCTCTTGCACCACCAGGGAGGGCCCAGTTTTATATTTTAAACTTGTATATTCAAATATTTACACATGAAATAGTCTTCAATTTCCTTCAAATTAGGATGTGAATATTGCAGGTTCTCAAATGTGGTTTCATACATTATAACCTTAACAAAAAAAGAATCTCAACTGATGCTATTTATCTATAGACATGATTTTGTTATGTCATCCTCTCATTTAGGTCAAAGTTCAGTTTCCAAGAACCTATTAACAATGGTAAGTAAGGATTTACTACTGTCTATAGGAAATAAGCTGAATTGACAGTTGATAATTATTGACATTTGGTGATTGGGTACTTGAGGCCTATTACCATCCTCCTTTTTGTATATGTCAAAGTATTTCATAATCTTTAGTATCAAGGAAAAATGTCTTTTTTTCCTTTTTCTTGATATCAGGGTACTATAAATTATTAATTAGAAAATAGCTTCCAGTAAGGGTAAAGCCTCATTTATATTTTTCTTTAATATACACAATAAAAAAGAAGAAAAAAACCCATAAAGCTAATTCTTCTACTCCCTACTCCCAGGCTTTGTTTCCCAAGACAAATTCTATTACTATACCTTATACTACTTTTCAGTTAGCTATAACTTCCTTTTGTTTTGATGGTTATATACCCTATTTATTTTTTTCTTCTCAAATTTTATGTACCTTTTCTTGAGACTTAAAACTTTTCAAAGACCAGCATTAGTTGTTATAAAAAGGAAAAAAAAAAAAAAAGCAGCCAGGGTAAGTATTCTCAATATTAGCATACCTGCATTCATTGCTAGGAACTCTTACAAGTCAGGTGTTCCAGTTTATAGTAATTAGCAACAGATTCCACATATTGAATTTTACTGTAAGATTCAAAAAAACATACAGTATGCTGGGCTCCTGATTTTGTTTCTCCTCTGTAGAAAGACCAACAAAAAAATTGCTATAGAAATTATTCCTAGGGCCTTCCCTGGTGGCACAACTGGTTAAAGTGCAGCACTGCAAGCTAGCTACAGCCACTTCGGTGCAAGTTTGATCTCAACCCTGGAGGTGACCCACATAGTGCAAAAGACCTCACTTGTCTCGCTGCTCCCCTCGGCAGTGTACTTTATCAGTCAGCCTGTTCTGCTTCCCCACTCTGTCTGGTGAATCCTCTAACTGCCCCTGCATCTCTGGCCTGTACCCGTTCTGTATGCATAAATAAATACATCTTAAATAAATTAAAAAAAAAATGAGACTGCCTAGAGGATTTAGGACAAGGTAACCATTTTATTTAGATTTCAACATACTGTCAAAACTTCACTCCTTAGGAACTGTTTCCTTCTAAAACAATACCTAAAAACACAAATATAGGTGGTGGTGCAAGGGGTTAAAATGCAGCACTATTAAGCTTTTCGAAGCCACTGCAGCAGAAATTCCACATCCAGCCAGAGCAGTGACCCACATGGAACAGCAGACCTCTCCTGATCCACCCACTGCTCCCTTCAACAGTGTATTTCACTTGATCTGCCTGTTCTGTTTCCCACTCTGTCTCTGGTGAATCTTCTCCAGCCCCACACCTCTGGTCTATACCCCAGTGCATGTAAGCATAAATAAATCTTTAAAAATTGTATATACACATATACAAATACATGATGATTAAAAGGTTATGTTGTTTTAAGTAGTATGGCAGTATTTTAAGATTATGATCTTTGCTGCTTAGGTCCAAATGTTGAAATCTTTGCTACTCCCAAATTATTAGAATGAACTTGAGAAATACTGCCCATGCGAAAAACATGATATCCTTAGAGGCATGCTTATTTACTTTAAAATAGACTAAAAATATGGGGTAAAAGAATAAAAGAATAACTTTTGACAATTTCTGCTATATACACATACATATACACATGTATATAAACACTTAGCATGAGTATATTGAGTAAATATAATGGTTAGTACATGAAACCCTACATTTGTATATTCACTGGATATGGTATATGACCAATATACACGTATATTCCTTATATATGTATGCATATACATATACATATATATGCCTTAATCTTCCATACTTATTTCTGAAGAAATAAGTATGAAGTCACTAGAAACTTAATAATATTTCCATTTTTTTAAAGAAAAACAACCCCTTTTGATATTAGGGTAATCGGGTATATCAATCCTGTAAGTGAAAAGAATAACCATGGAGCCAAGTCACATGATACATATTACAATTTTTGGACTGTGTTACACAGGTTCTCAATGAATTGGAAGGGAAATGGTTTTAATCCCATGGTCCCTCTTTTTTTTTTTCCCCCGCGTGGGTACTCATTTTGAAGTAATTATAATTAAAAACCATATTCATCTATTTTCTCATCCAAATATTAAATTCCTAGCATATGCATAATCTGTGAGATATTAAAGGAATACAAAGATGACTTTTTAAACTGTACACTCAGAGAGTCTACAATCTATTTTATTTTAAAAAATGATTTATTTATGCTTACAGAACTGGGGTACAGGCCAGAGGTGCGGGGTGGGTGGTGGGTGGGAGGAGTCATTAGAACAGAATAGGGAGCAGAACCGGTAGATCAACGAAGTACATTGTTGAGGGGAGCAGAGGACAGATCATGAGAGATCTGCCACACCACGTGGGTCACCTCTGGTGGGGGATGGAACTTGTGCTGCAGTGGCTACTACCACAGCTTCATAGTGGTGCTTTAACATACTACACCACCAGGGAGGGCCGAGTCTGCAATCCATTGATAGTGACAAATAGTTTAACACATGCTGAAGAAAGGGCTTATAATATTTCCCTTGACTTAGAAAAACTGTCGTTTCCCCTAATTTAGTGTATAGACTGCCAGTTGAAAAACTGTTATTATTATATACAACTTTATTAGTTTGTCTTTAAAGGAAGTTGATCAGTTTTACAAAGAAAAATATCTTACACTATCACATCTTTTTGACTGGTTTGACTTATTTTTTAAAGATTTATTTATTTATTCATACAGTACTGGGGTATAGGCCAGAGATGTGGAGGGTGAGAGGATTCACCAGAGACAGACCCGGGAGCAGAACAGGCAGATCAACGAAGTACACTGCTTGACGGAAGCAGCGGGTGGGTCAGGAGAGGTCTGCCACGCCATATGGTAGATCGAACTCATGCGGAAGTGGCTTTATCTTCTTAGTGCTCTGCTTTAACCCGCTGGGCCACCAGGGAGGGCATGGTTTGACTTTTTAAAACAAAAATGTGCTTAAAGAGGAAAAATGATTGATTGATGAAATCAAATTAATTTCATGCACAGAGAAACAAAGTACATCTGTGATATATGTGAAGTTTTAATACAATTGGGCCCAATAATAAAGAATTAAATCTAAATTGTTTTGGAAATTTGCCTTAGTTAAGTTTTTATACATAATTTCATTATATATAAAACAGAGTTGATATTTATGTGTGATCACAACTCACGCTGTATGTCTAGCTAGCATAATATGCAGGATTAAAAAATTAGTATGAAAACTTTTCTAATAATTTACATATCAAAAATAATTTGAAATAAAACAAGGGATAAAGGGGAAAAGTGAAATGGCATAGGTAATTTAATAGTAAACTATCAGTGCAGAAATGAATGTAAATGTAACAGAATCTTTTTTCCCTGTATTTATTACTTTTTAAAAAATGATTGAGATAAAAAACTTAATTTAGTAAAACAAGCTGGATGACTCATTTTGTGAGCTGTAGAGGAAAAGACTTGGGCAAACAGTCCACTTTGAAAATATTTTTTATTAATTTGTGGTTTCCAAACATTTTTTTCAAATCACCAAAGGCCAAAACTACTCTTGCACTTGATCCATTTTTCCCCATCAAAAGTAATTAAATAATGTATTTTTTATAACAAATTCGTTTGTAATCAGCTATGATTTTCAAAATCATTTTAAAAATAAAAGCTCAAAGTTGCCAACCGACCACAAGTAACAATTTAAAAAATAGAATAGGCAAAGTCTTCCTCTAACTGACCAAATGACCAGCTGGATTTGACCCTTTCAGGTTGCCAATGACTTTAAGAATCACACAGATTGTAGGTGTTTCTATCAGCTGCTCAAGTGCAGCTGCTAATACATGATGATGTAAGCAAAGCCTTGGTCACAGAGATCTTCAGATTTCATTTTATTTTTCAAGAGATTTCTCTTCACTTTCTTCATCAGCTTCATCTTTTTCCTTACAAGAATCTTGGCTGCTGGTATCAATAAGAGAATTTTCTTCCCCATTCTCTGTTTCTTTTATTTTTCCTTGATCATTCAAGCTAGAAGAAGAAAGTTATCAATCTTTCACAGGAAAAATGAGTTGATTTAAAGGTAAACAAACTCTTTGCAATGTATGCCATCATACAGTCATCTTCAAGTGTATGAGCTTCAATGTAACAAGAAAACTATAAACATGCCAGTTTGCAATGAAAATATACATTTGAGAATAACTAATTTAAAAACTTTACTCTTTAAACTTCATTTGAGAACATGTTACTACTTTGTGTCAGTTAGACATTATAGTATTCTGCTTAAAAAAAAAAGACACTTCATGTACTATTTCAACAGTTCACATGTATTTCAGTTAAAAAACCTTTTAAAAATATAGAACAACAAAAAAATATATATAGAACGGAATTTTATGCTTTTCTGCAGGTAAGGATTTTTTCAAAGGTAAACCAATCAGACATTTTATATATGTTACCTTTCTTCATCTCCAGTGAAACTTTTCATCTCTTGATTGCTGAAGTACTCAAATGCTTTTCCTCTTTGGCCTTTCTTTGAAACAAACTCATCAGATATTCCTAGTACCTTGAGGGTATTAAAATAATGCTTTTCTGCTGCCATTCTTGCATTTTTCTATAGGAAAAACAAACCTTCTTAGATGTAAACAAGACTTTAAATTTCTATTAAAAAATGTATGAGTTGAGGCCTCCCTAGTGGTGCAACTGGTAAGGACTCAGCACTGCAAGCTGGCCCAGCAACTTCAGTGTGAGTTCAATCCCCAGCCCTGGAGGTGATCCACATGGCATGGCAGACCTCACCTGACCCCACCTGCTGCACCCCTCAGCAGTGTACTTTGTCAATCAGCCTGCTCTGCTCCCCACTCTGTCTCTGATCAATCCTCTCGTTGCCCCTGCACATCTGGCCTGTACCCCAGTTCTGTATGCATAAATAAATAATTCTTAAAAAAAATGTGTGAGTTAAAAGCTCCAGTGAAAATTAAACAATCCAAGTTGGCTGGAGAAATGCATAGCCTAGGACAGCAATTCCACATTGAGGTATATGCCTGGAGAAATTCCTCTATATATGCACAAGGAGACATGGACAAAAATATTAAAGATAATTCAATTTGTAAAAACTCGAAACTGGAATCAACCCAATATTAACAGTAGGAGGAACAAATAATCTGTGGTCTATTTGTAGAAGAATCAAAGTGATGTAAATGAATGAACTCAAGCTATACACCACAAAGATAATACTGAGCAAAAGAAGCAAACTACATAAAAGAGTACTACAGCTTGGTGTTTATAAAATATCCAACACAAGCAAAACTAAACTAGATTGGTTGGGTATAAGGATATAGGTGGTAAATCTGCCAAGAAAAATGACAAGAGGCTTATCTTAAAAACTAAGAGGTGGTTATCTCTGGGGGAAAAGCAGAGGGTTGTGGGCCTGGAGGGATATACAGTTTCTGAGGTGTCAGCAATGCTGTTAATCTGGGTTAGTATGAGTCAATCACGAGTTTAGATCTGTAATTATTGTCTACATTGGACCTGTTCTTTACATGTTTATGACTATTCAAGGGTAGCTTAAAAAAAAAACAGCAAGAAAACAATTTCATGCAATAGTTGTCAGAGGCTTTTATGTGTGTACTATAAATTTTACTCTTATCCAGCCATATCTCTTGTCCATTGGAAATGATAAAAATCATCAGTGTTATGACCTTTACTCTGGAGGAGGTAAGGGATACAGCAAAAAGAATACAAATATAGAATTGGGTTCAAATCCCCATTATGTCACTTCCTGGTTTGGGGACCTCTGGGAGTTGTGATACCCTTCTCATACCTGGAGCAAATTAGAAGTTCTCACAGATCCTGAGACCAGAGGTTTTACAGAGACACAAGATGGCTGAGGTTTAAAGTACTGTCTGGGCTTGGGTCCACATTTAGCAACTATGAATTGATATGATCCAGTGGAGGGCCAAGAACTACCATCTGGCCTTCCAAACAAGGCAAGATGAGTAGGAACAGCCAGTTCCAATAAAGCTATATACTAGAAAAAGTTTGGGAGCACAATCTAACCCCAGTATTTAACAAGGAGATGAAGACACACCCTGCTCTGGCTATTTTCTAATCCACCATGCTAATTACTCCAAGTGGTAGTGGTCATCCTGGATATGATGGTAGCCTGAGGTAAAGCAGTTATTATACTGGTGTATGTAGGGAATACCTGGCTTTAACAATGAGTCAGATATTTGCCTAACCGAGGAACTCCATCATAATAAGGACCAGGAGACTAGTGTTCTGTGAAGAAACCAAAACACCTAATACTGATCATGATGGATAAAACTATCACCAGTGCATTTCCTGACACTCTGAAAAGCTAGGTAGGGAGTGGGTGTGGGGTGGCATGGGGTGACGAGTGAGGACACAAACTGTTGCTAAGAGGTAACCACTATAGATAACAATTGTTAGAAAATAAGTGAAAATGTACTCAAAAGCTGTGAATACCATAGACAAGCCTTGTAGAACTGAAAGTCAGGGCCATGAGATGAGAAATGTACCCTAAAGATTGTAAAGCAGAATAAAGAAACCCCGTATCTAACTGAATGCATTAAAAACAGCACACTGATTTAAATATTAAAGCGATAAAAATTATATTAATCAAAACTAGTTCTTATAAGCCTTCATCTGAATTTGGTTTAAAATCTAATTTAATGTCTACTCTGCAAATATATCCTGTAATTTCCAATAAACAAGACAGCATGGTTTGTTTTGCAATGAATCATGGGCTTACTGTGCTAGGGAATAACTCAACAAGCAGCAATATACAATTAACACTTATAATGGGTAATGCATAAAGTTGTGAATAAATTAAATAATAGCTGTTAATTACTAGCAGTAGTCATAGCAAAATAGGCTACTGGAAATAAATGTACTAATTTATGTTAATAAAACCAAAGCACTGGTGATTTGGTGTCAGTTACCCCATATATAAGATTAATTACCCTCTGGTATTTTATATCAAGGTGAATAGTGTGTAACTGTTCCTAATTGAAACAAATATTTCTCCCATTGATTTCTCCATGCAAAGGAACTGTAAAGACATGAAAGGAACATAAAAGGACATCAAAGACTGCAAAAAAAAAAAAATTAGCAGTTTCTTCAGGGAACCAAAATAACAATGATAAAAGTTTGTCTCCAGTAAGTACCCTAGTGTAATGAGGAAAAAAACATGTCTTATAAGTTTAGTTTATAGTAATTCCTTCATTTATTTAATAATTACTGAATATGTATTTTGTGGCAAGTCCTTATGGACTTATAGAAGGTGTATAGGGAGAGAAAAGTATTTTGGGCAAAGGGAACAGCATATGTGGGCACCAAAAATGGTAGAAGAAATATGAGCGATGAAATTAGCTTATGTTTTTAACATTCAAGAATTTTTTATGGGTTTAATTTCACACACACCATTTTTGGAGCCACCAATGCTTAGCATCTGCAGCATAGCAAAACTGCATATTAACAGTCAGGCTCTTTAGTAATACACAGTAATACTCTTAGGCTGGGCAAATCCCAGAAAGAAATATGAGGTCATTATGTGGCTAATCTGATATCAGCAGTTCAGATTTGGGTTCAACAAATGTTTATTAACATCTCCTCTGTGTATAACACTGTCTTAGGTGCTAGGAATTCAACGAATTGACCACTACATTTAGAAGTAACTGTAAGAAGAGATGAGAGTTTCTCAAAAAAATTAAAAATAGAGCTACCATATGATTCTACTACTCCACTTCTGGGTATATACCTGAAAGAAATGAAATCACTATGTTGAAGAACTATCTGCACCATCCACATTCATTGCTGCATTACTTAACAACAGCCAAGATATGGAAACTAGCTAACTGTCCATCAAAAGGTGAATAAATAAAGAAAATGTGACATATATACAATGGAATACTATTCAGTCACAATAAAGAAGAAATCTTGGCATTTTTACAAGGATGAAACTTGAAGGCAATATGCAGTTAAATAATAAATAAGTCAGAGAAAGACAAATATCATATGATCTCACTTATATGTGCAAAAAAAAAAAAAGAACTCAGAAAAAGAGATAAGAATAATGATTACCAGAGGAAGGAGGTGAAAGATAAAAGAACTGGATGAAAGTAGTGCAGTTATAAGATAAATAAGTACTGGGGATATAATATACAACATGATGACTATAGTCAACAGTGCTACAGGTTAAAATCACTTTGGTTTTGCTAATTCATCCCGTTTCGCAAATTTTATGAGATGGTGGATATTAACTAAATTTGTTATGGCAATCATTTTGCAATATATATGTATGGTCTAGTCATAACGTTGTACACCTTATGCTTAAACAGTACTGTATGTCAATAACATCTCAACAAAACAAAAAAAAAGTGGCAGAAACAAATCTGATCAATTAGCCATTTTTGCTTCATTCTTTAATTCTTCAAAATCTCCAAATCAGATCATGAAGGCTCATTTTAATATTTGGCTAAGCTGGCACTGAAAAAACACTGGCCTTGAAAAACAAATTATGAAATTATTTTGGAAGTGTTTGGATCAGCTGCATGTTCATTTTCAAGCTTACATGCCTTATCAATAAGATTCAATGTTCAAATTTTAAGCAAAATTACTTACTTGACTGATCTAGTGAAGTTATCACAGAAACAATATGTCTCAATTAATTGTATAATACACTAGAAAAATGGACAATAAGCTAGGAGCTAGTGATGCTTAAAAAAAAAAAAAAAGATGACAATAGCTTTTAAATCCCAACAAACACAACCTGAGCAACTCTTTCAAACAGTAGTGGCCTGTTTTTTAACTTTTCTTCTCTTTCTTTTAGTTCTTGTTGATATTCTCTCATCCTTTCCTTTTCACTCTTTCTAAAAGCAAACAAAAGGAATGGAATTTTAAAAAGAACTTGAATACATAAACTTTAACTTAGATAACCAATCAGCAATTGAATTAAAAGCATGGTTTATGGGGTACCACAATTCTTATTCCAGACTATCACATTTATATGGAATGCAGAATTAAAATCCTAGGTTCTGAGAGCACACATTTTACATCCTGGAAACAGTCTGAGTACTCTAAGATTCTGAAATCTTGAAGCCATAAAATATCTTGATTAGATGAATAATGCCATTTTATCATACTTTTAAGTGCATAAAAGCAAGAAAGCTTGGTCCAAATTAGCTGTCTTTTCTTTAAGGAACTTCCAAAAATAAGACCTTACTCTTTTTTATACCCTAAATGAGATTTCCTATAAATGAGTGGCAAGTTAATTAAATGGGAGCAGGTCAGGAAGAAATGGGTAATACAGGACTTTAGCATATTGAAGAACAAAGCCAAAATATATAAATTCACAGTAAGTGTTGCTACTCTTTGAACAAGATCCTTTAATGAATTAAACTGCTATATTTTTCTATATTAAATATATTAACTCTGTCAAGGTAAGATTTCATGGGTTAGAGAAAATTACCGTATGATAAAATTACAACTTGCTTAATTATCTACAAGTTGGCATTATGAAAAAGCCAGTTTTCTTTTTAGGAGTGAATAGTATATATCTAAGGAATTTTTTTTGCTCAAGTTCCCTCTAGCAATTATGTTGATATACATTAAAAAGGAATATATATATGTGTGTATATATATATGTGTGTGTATATATATATATGTTCCTTTACATACATTATGTAAGAATTTACTTAGTATTATACATAATACACATTTTAAAAGGAATATTCATGATAATTAAAACAAATATAGATTCTTTGGAACTTACGAATCATATTTAAAATTAATAAATCATATTTACTTACCTAGCTTTGATAGCGCTATTTTCCTACTTAAACACATTGATCCTGTGGAACAATGGTTTTCAAGCTTTGTACAGAAGAATTCCAGTGTTCTATGAAATCTTTTCATAAATATTTTTACTTTTCAATATTAAAACTGTAGCAAAATGTAATACATAGCACTAAATATTTTTTTTAAAGATTGATTTATTTATGTACCCAAGAACAAGGATTAAGGCCAGAGGTCGGGGGGACATGAGAGGATTCACCAGAGACAGAGTGGGGAGTAAAACAGGTAGATCCACTGAAAAACACCACTGAGGGGAGCAGCGGGCAGGTCAGGAGAGGTCTGCTACGTCATGTGGGTCAAGTCCCTGGCTGGGTAACGAACTCGTGCTACAGTGGCTGTGGAGAGCTTCATAGTGCTATGCTCCAACCTGTTGTCCCACCAGTGAGGGCATAGCACTAAATATTAACACACATGTGTTAATCAACACATAACTGATATTAATTAACATCACTATGTTAATTTGTGTTATCAGATCTTGTACAGACCTTAGAATAAAGCTATTTGGTATTTCTGTTTATTGAGAAATATTCTGAGATTACATGCAGACTGTTTAGTCTTATCTGTGTGAATCAAGACCTTTTTCAATATTATATTATAAAATCAGGGCCCTCTCTTGTGGTGCAAGGAGCTAAAACGTAACACTATGAAGCTAGCTGCAGCAGCCACTTCAGCATGAATTCCATCTCCGGCCAGAGGGGTGACCCATACGGTGTGGCAGACATCTGTCTCACCTGCTGCTCTCCTCAGCAGTGTACTTCCTCAATCTCCCTGTTCTGCTCCCTACTTGTTTCTGGTGAATTCTCTCATTGCCTCTGCACTTGTATCCCTGTTCTATATGCATAAGTAAACAAATCTTTAAAATAAATAAATAAAATCAGATATAATGTAAAGAAAAAGATTGAATGCTGATAAAAGATTATAACTACTAACTATGACCACAAGCATGAAATGATTCTGTTCATTACCACAGCTTCATAATGTTCACCATGAGGTGAGTGAGTGTGTGCATATGTGGAGTATAGCTAACTGATGGTAACTTAGATCCATTCTTAATCTGTTCATATTTTGGTATCCATTCATTTGAAAAAAAAAAAGTTTGAAAACCAGTGATCCAGAGGTTCAGGATTCCTTCATGATACCTGAGAGATTTTACTCTGGCTTTCGACATCTGAGCTAAACTTTGATGTGAATCATAAGCCTTAGCCCGGTTTATCAGAAGTTTCTGCAATTCTTTCATTCTTTGCTTCTGCTTAGTTAGGATCCGATTTCTCTCCTCTTCCAACATTTTCTTTTCCTCAAGTGATTTCCTGAGGACAACAAACTAGGCTTAATTCACTTTAAGCCAATGAGAATGTTGTTTAGCAAAGCTTTAACTCAAAGGTTGAAAAAAAGCAACCTTTTGAGAAGGCTCTGACTTGTGAAATTAGAAATCAATAGGCAGTTTTTCTACACACAAGGAGTCAAAAAATGAAATATATTCTCAGGTAAAATGTTTTGTAGTGTACAGTAAAATATATTATCAGATATACTACTTTTTTCCTGGTTTCAAATTCTCCAACATAAAATCAATAGGGTTGCATATACTACTTTAGTAACCACAGTAAGTATTTTATCCTAATTCTTTACCTTGTGGCTTGTTCTCTTCCTCTGGAAGATGCTGTGGGCACTGGAAAGTGGAAGTCCCAAGGGATGGGCTTTGCACTTGCACTTCTTACTTGTGACTTATGCCTTGGAGACGGGTAAGGCCACTGTGTTTCCTTTAAATTTTCTTCTTCATCTGTCTCACTGTCTGCCAAAATTTTCTCTTGTTTAATGGATCTACCTGAGACTGCAGGAGGATCAAATGGTTTACAAGTTATTTTTTTTGGATACTCCCATTCTGAGAGGTGTTTCTGGTATCTCTCAGGAAGGTCTTCAAAATTAGTAGTCTGGCACTTACCCTTGTGTTTACCCCTCAACTTTTCAGTCTGTTCAGGATACCTGGGCTTCCAGGTAGCAGAATTTTCATAAGCTAGGTTATCAGACAGAGGAGATGAATTTCGTAAAAGCTCTTGTGTCCTAGTATTTCCACAGAGCTCATGTTCTTTTAACTTGCCATTGGTAGTTAAAGCATAAGTAGATCGAGGTATAGGTTTGGCTTTAAATCGCTTCATTTTCTTTTTACACTTCAAAAAGTCTCTCAGCTGCTTTTCCCGGATTGCTTGCTTCTGTTCCTCCCTTGCAATAAACTTAAATGGCTTTTGTGAAGCCAAAAGAGCTTCTTTGTTTTTCTCCTTCCTAAATCTCCTCTGTTCTTCATTTTGCTTGAGTAAATCATGATAAGGGGGGAAAAAAATGAATGTAGGAACTGGATTAGCTCGGAATTTCTTCTTACATTCTGAATCTTCTTTTTCGAGAGCATTGTATAACAGTTCAATATCTGACTTACATTTCATGTCCTCTTCTTTTTTTTTCTGCTCTCTAATTGTCATCTGAAAAGGCTCAGGTACTGTAATCTTTGGTACCCACTCTTTGGGCTTCTTCTTTGCTTTTTCAACTGCTGGTAAGTCAACATCTTTATACTGAATATAATCTTCAACAGAAAAGTCTGTCCACATGTTGTTGATGAGCTCCTCTGCATAGCTCATCACTTTGTTCTTCTCAGGATGCTCTTTTTCTAAGTTGGGCAATTCATCTTCAGAAGGAAGCATAATCAAGGAGGAAGATCGACATAAATTAGGTTCTGAAAATGATGTTACTAATGAGACAGGGTGATAGGAATTCTTTTCTGATACAGACCTAAGAGAGAACAAGAATTAAATTACACTTATATTTGTGTGACAATATATAAAAATCAAATTATTTATTTTCTAAAATCAAGATACAATCAGAAGGCTGGATCTGTAAAGGGCTTATAAAAAGGATTGCCTCCTGTTAGAATAATGCCACAAGATGCCTATTAATTATTTAGTTTAACTCTCTAATTTTATAGGGGAGGAACCTGAGACAGCAGAGGCTCCTGTAGCTAATCTATTGAATTCTCTACCTTTCCCAGACTCACTGACATATCTGATCACATCATCTCCTTCTTGAAACCATTCCATGTTTTCTCATTGTTACTAAGTCAATCTAAATTATAAAGCTTTTCAAGACTAGCCCAGTCTACATTCCAGTTTTCTCTCTCACCTCTGCCATCACTGTTAAGTCACTGGTAAGTACATAAAGTTGCTCACAAGTGCTAGGATTTCTCATGCTGCCATGGCTTGGTACTGTTGGTTTCTGTTGCCTGGAAGGCCACTCCTTGCTTCCTGCATCTGCTGCAGCTACTCTTCCTTTAGACTAAACTCAGAGATATGACACTTCAGAAGAAAATTCCTGCCTACTTCCTTCCACCAACATCTTGAGGTGACTGTAACATCAGTTGCTTCTTCCTCTGTGTCCATAACATTCATCATGTTATATTGCAATTACTGGTTCTCGGCTCATCTCTGAACTCCTTAAAAGCATTTTGACTTTGACTCTCAGGTGCCCAGGAAAGGTCTGGCACACAGAAGATGCATAATCAGCACTAATTCAATAGATAAGGTAAGGAACTTATCTCAAGATTTGAAGCAAGTGAATTTACAACAGAAATGGTTCTCAAAATTGTAGGCCATTTTTGAAAACTGGAATCAGCTTTATGTCTTAATCTTAAATTTTTTTGTACTGTATTTTTAACGAGCTCATGTTTAGTCACATATTGTAAAGGGCCTTCAACATTAAATTTTGATATTGATTATTTAAAAATAGCCCAGATGAAATATGTTGATTCATGTCTATAGCTCTGTAAGTGATGGGTCAAAAAGAAAATCCAAATGGCCACCAGTGACCCTCACACTCAAAGCAAGAATTCACGTAGTAAGTTAATAAGTCATTAAACATTCTGAATAAATGTAACATTAAAAGTACAAAGGGAAAAAACAAAATACAAAGGGACATTAGAGAGAAAAATATTTGGAAATAATTTTGTTCTACTCTTCTAAGTATATATTTTATTTACAGTCTACAAGTAATATTATGTATAACTTACCCAGATGAAACACTAGAAGCCCCTTCCCTGATGACCACTGGCTGAACTCCCTTTAAATTTAATTTATTCTGGTACATTTTCTCTAATTTTGCCATAGTTTCCATGTGGGCAGCCTTTAGCTCTTCTAGTTTCCTGAAATATTCTTCATTAGAGTGGCAGATATCAGAAAAGTCCACAAAGTCCTCCGAGTTTACATGTTCATCCACCCCAGAAAAGTTGGTGTTAAAATCAGCCTGACAGAAGGGGAAAAATCTGTTACATATTGTTTGGAATTGAAAGACAAATTAAGTCAAAACAGTGGTTACCAAAGCTTAAAGAGTCCACTTAATTATGTTGTTTATCTTGTGGGCTATCTACATATAATGGATTAAAAGTAACTTCATTTTCCCCAAAAGAAATTATATTAAAAAGAAAGAAGGGGGACCTCCCTGGTGGCGCAGCGGGTTAAAGCACTGCACAAAGAAGCTTAAGCCACTTCCACATGAGTTCGATTCCCGCCTGCCCCGGAGGAGTCCACATGACCTGGCAGACCTCTCCTGACCCGCCCACTGCTCCCCTCAGCAGTGTACTTTGTTGATCTTCCTGTTCTGCTCCCCGCTCTGTCTCTGGTGAATCCTCTCACCCTCCGCATCTCTGGCCTGTACCCCAGTTCTGTATGCAAAAATAAATAAATCTTAGAAAAAAAAAAAAAGAAAGAAAGAAGGGCCTCCCTGATGACACAAGAGGTTAAACACAACACTATACAGCAATCTGCGGCCACTGCAGCATAAGTTCGATTCCTGGCCAGAGAGATGACCCATATGGCACAGCAGACCTCTCCTGTCCCACCTGCTGCTCCTTTCAGCAGTGTGTTTTGGTCAATCTGCCTGTTCTGTTCCTCACTCTGTCTCTGGTGAATCCTCCCACACCCTTGGCCTGCACCCCAGTTCTTATAAAGCTCTTCCTTCTGTCTTGTAAGTTTTAACTGAGATGAAGAACACAATTCCTACTGCTACAAACCAGCTCAATGCCCTCTCTTCTGGGTTCATGCAGTAAGGACCCTACGTGTATGAAACAGGAAGAACGTGGGAGTATAGTGAAATGAGGACTGGGAAATGGAGGGAACAAAACTCTGAGTGACTCATCACTTAAACTAAGTAAAATAATGGAAGAATCTGGAGGATCACATTATGGGGGAAAGAGGAGAGAAGTACTCCAGACAATGGAAATAACATTAACAAAGCAGCAGGGTTGGGGAGAACTGTGGAGAGCAAGCTATTCAGTTGCAGAATGAGAGAAAAGTAAAATGCATCAAGCAATTCTGGAAAGCAAGCCCAGAAAGGAGGTGAGGGCAAGCAGGAGGTGGTTTCTCTTCTTTGTCTACTATACTGGCTCTTGATCACTCACTGGCCACCTGGTTTCAGACCCCTCTGACCCTTGAAAGATGAAAGGATTAAATGGAAGTAACTGTTCAGTTTGGGGTGTTCTTATGACTTGGGATAAAGATTATAGAAATGGTGCCAGAAGTTTCTGTACTTCAAAGACATATGAAGTGCATTCTAATCTACTGAATATTAAGCCTCACCATTCATAAAGTAGGTGTGTCAAGTGTTAAACTATGGCTTTTAAGTTCAATACACCTGCCATGTGATACTGGGGCTGGGGCCCAACAAACTACATTTCTCCTTTGCTCACTGCTTCCCATTAGTCTGGGCCAAATGTGGGGTTAGAGGAAGGTGGTGAGGCTATAGAAAGAAGGAACTTATTTTTCTTGTCACTTCTCTATGCACTAGTCTGCCTTCTTCACCTCGGCAGACTCTTACCCTGGCAGGTGTGGTTCATTCTACCAGCATTGGCTGATTTCAGTTTGTAGTTTTCCCAGTGCTACAGAATCAGCAAAATAACGTCAGTCATTTTTATACTGACTATTCCTTTTCCCAAGCTGCTTTTACAGATATTTGCATGGCCTACTTACTTTCTTCTTCAGGTCTTTATTCAGATATCATCTAATCAACAAGGTCTTTGCTGACTATCCTATTTAAATTTACAACCTCTTTCCTACTCATAGTTAGCCTCTTTCTGCTTTACCTTTCTCATACTTACTAGCAACTGAAATTCTAAATAGTGTACTTATTTGTGTATTATATGCTGCCTCTATCAAAAAGTGCTACAAAAGCAAGGTTTTGTCTGTTTTATTCATGGTTGTATATCTAGTGCCTAGAAAAGTTCCTAATTAGAGATGCACTAACTAGAGATGCTCAATAAATATTTGCTGAACAAATGAATGTAGTTAAAAAAGAAAAAGTTGTTTCCAACCAGGAAGGAGCATAGATAATCCCTCACAAAGGATTAAAAAAACTAAAAGAAATATTGGCTGCTCTAAAAAGCTACATTCTACTGAATATTAAGGAAAAGTGTTTCCAAAGCTATAATAAAAATATGGAGATGGGGCCTCCTTAGTGCTGCAAGGGGTTAAGTCTTACACTATGAAGCCATAGGCAGCCTGGGCAGCGCAAGTCTGATCTCTGGTCAGGCAGTTAACCCATATGATGCAAGAACTCTCCTGTCTCACCAGCTGCTCCACTCAGCAATGTATTTTATCAAGCTACCTGTTCTGCTCCCCACTTTATCTCTGGTGAATCCTCTCACTTCACCACTGTGCCTCTGGTCTCTACTCCAGCACTTGTATACATAAATAAATAAATCTTTAACAATAAATAAATAAAACAGCAGGTATTCCAAAGAACTGCTCTTAGGCAAAAGCATGTGTGTGTTTCCCACTCATTCTTTTAGAACATCACTTAAAGGCCTTATAACAATCATTTTCATGAAAAGGAGAAAACTGTGCATCCCCAGTAGCACAGAGGTTAAAGATCATGCTATCAAGCTATCACCAGCCACTGCAGCACTAGTTCCATTGACCAGGTTGCTGACCCACATGGGTGCAGAAGACCTCTTTTGTCTCACCCGCTATTCCCCTCAGCGGTCAATGGGCCTGTTCCACTCCCCACTCTGTCTCTGGTGAATCCTCTCACCCCCATACCTCAGGTTGGTACACCAATTCTTGTATGCATAAATAAATCAATCTTTAAAAAAAAGAAAATTTATTTGGACCTATCATAAAAGGAATAGTAACTTCTAAAGAGATGTGGCAGGTCTGACAGATGACACTTATGCACTGACTCCTGCACAGAACCTACTCTATGTCAGCTTACTACTGTGAGTACTAGTTTGAACTTCTCAGATAAACGGATTATCAGCATTTTTACCTAAAATAGATTAATAATTATTCAGCAACTTCCTGCTGAATGTTTCCACACATGAGACAACAGTTAGTGTATCAAATAGCCTAGACTAGAGCCATTACTTTTCAAGCTCCTGAAATGCTCCCTTTGCCTTTAATTGTTCCGCTTCTTGTGGAATGTTGTGCATGCAGCAACTAGATTAGAGGATAATCCATCCTAAATTGGCTTGACCCATTTAGATGTTGAATCCTTCCAGGACATGTTCCTTCATTAGTGATCAGGACCTATAATTATTTGTGTTATGGTCCACCAAATATCAGCTGCAATTTTGGAATTTTAAAAAAGTACTGGATTGAAAAGATATGTAAGGAATGAAGCAGATGTCATGTAAAACATGGGTAAACCCTGAATAAATAAGAGAAAAAAACGTGTGTTTGTATGTATATATGTGTATTAAAATGCTGCCACAGGTTAATATATAAAGGAGACAGGGAAAAGTTCAGAATAATATACATCAATTTAAAACAGTGGCTACAAATGGAGAGAAAAAGGAAGATCCCAATTTTTGGGGGGAGAAGAAACATCAAATGGGCTGTAAACCTTACGTAACACTTGATATATTTTTTAAGAGAGGATTCACCATAGTCAGAGCAGAATAGGCAGATGGATGAAGTACACTGCTGAGGGGAGCAGCGGGCGGGTCAGGAGAGGTCTGCTGCACCATGTGAGTCACCTCCAGGGCGGGATGAAGTCACCCTGAAGTGGCTTTAGCTTCTTAGTGCTCTGCTTTAACATGCTGTGCCACCAGGGAGGGCCACACTTGATATTTCAAAAGAATGTGTCAATGTATTATTTCCATAATTAAAAAGCAACTTTTAAAAAATATAATAGTTTATTTTTACATCATTTTGTACATTTTTTTCTTCATCTCAATTGTAATCCCCGTGAGTTTCCCATCACCAAGTCACCCATGTGCCATCACGATAGTCTAGTAAAAAAGCAACTTTTAAAAAAAAAGAAAGGAGGCCCCCCCTAAGTCACTCTGCTGACTGGCTGGGGATCGAACTCAGCTGTAGTGGCTGAGATAGCTTCATAGTGCTGTGCTTTAACCCACTGTGCCACCAGGGAGGGCCCAAATTTTAGAAAAATTTCTAAAGGATATTTAGTCAACCTTTCTCCTCCCATTGCTCCTTCTGGAAGGTGGCTCTTGCACTGTCCCAGCAATATTGCTACCTTTGCTCTTCCACCTGCTCCACAATCCAACCTCTAACTGCCTATGATCATTCATTTATTCCTTTAAGGAAAGAGTAACCATCCATTGGAAGTTCTTATTTTCCATTCTACAAAACTACTTTGCACAGAACTACCTTCTCATAACTACCTTCCCTCATGGTCAGGGTCAATGAATGAGGGATTTTCACTCTTGTGATACTCCTTTGATCACTGTAACTGGTCCCTGATATCTTTGGCCTGTTTTTCTCTACCTGTTAATGTTGAGATTTTTTTTTTAAGAGTTCTTTTATAGACTCCTATTATTTCTCTGCACTCTCTCCCCAGGTGAAGTCTCTGCAGGTGACTTCAAGGATTCCCACTGTTTTTAAAAAGCTGAAAAATCCTAGATAGAACTATCTCTAGCCCAGACACTCCCTATAGATTAGCTTCATAGACCTAACTGCTTCTGAGACATTTTAATTTGGTAGTTTTATTGGCATCTCCAATTTACCATGTGGAAAAACTTGATTTCCCACCTAGACTTTAAACCTTTTCCTTCCCTAAGCCATCCCCAGTTTAGTAAATACACATGATCTTCCAGATATCTAGTCAAATAAGAAACCTGGGGAGGAGTATTTGTGACTTTTTCCTCTCTCTCCGGTCCTTCACACATAATATAACACCAAGGCTTATGTATTCTTAGAAATTGATTTGTCTACCTCTTGCCTTCTCTCCTGGACTCCAGGTACAAGCCACAGCCTCTGGAACCTGAATTATGCAACAGCCTCCAAACCAACTCCTTATTTCTGCTTTGTCAGACCCTCTAATTCTCCACAAAGGCACTTGAGTCATCTTTTAAAAATGTAAATTCTGAAAAGTCTTCAAAGATCTCCCATTGCACCTACAATAAACACAACTCCAAACCAAGTCCCAAAGGTCCTAAGTAATAAGGTCCCTAAGGTCCTTTCCAACCTCATTTGGTCCCCTTTCCTTCTCTCTTTTTCAGCCCTGCTGGCTTTCTTTCAAATCCTCACACCAAGTTCTTTTTCTTCCTATCTTAGAGTCTCTGCATATGCTGTTCCTACATATGCCTGGAATGCTCTCCTCATGCCCAATCTTCAAATGGCTGCTCCTTCTCATATATCAGGCAATCTACTTAAAAGTTAATTTAGGCCCTCCCTGGTGGCGCAGCGGGTTAAAGCATAGCACTAAGAAGCTAAAGCCACTTCTGCATGAGTTCGATTCCCACCTGCCCTGGAGGTGACCACATGGCATGGCAGACCTCTCCTGACCTGCCCACTGCTCCCCTTAGCACTGTACTTCATTGATCTGCCTGTTCTGCTCCCCACTCTGTCTCTGGGGAATCCTCTCACCCCCACCTCTCCCAAATCTCTGGCCTGTACCCCAGTTCTGTATGCACAAATAAATAAATCTTTAAAAAAAAAGTTAATTCAATTAACTATTTTTAATAGAAATACTTTTTTTCCAACATTCATTTTTTACTTCTAACTTCCCCATCAGACTGGAAATTCTGTGATGACATGGGCTATGTCTACTTCATCCACCACTGCTAATCAGTAACTAGCACTTAAATGCTTGATACTTTAAAAAATTAGACGACCCAATTTTACCTGTTACAGAAAACTGCTTTACCCATGTTATAACAAATCACATAACAATGCCTCTATGAAACACTATCTCCAGCTGAGACTGGATTCAAAAAAAGTATACTCAGTGCCCAGAATAGATAAAGAGTCCTCCTGCAATGGGGGTGTGTACGTGAGGGTTGGCGGATGTGTGTGTGGGAGGAGGGATAGTTTTGGGAAACCAAGGGACTGAAAGGATTCTACAATTGAGACAATGGGCTCTTTAATCAACCCATGGGTGTTGGGCATTTGAATTTACTACATTTTTAAGAAAGATTTATTTATGCATACAAGAACTGGAATATAGGCCAGCGGTCCAAGGTGGAGGGTGAGAGGATTCGGCAGAGACATAGGTGGAGAACAGAACCAGTGGACTGACCGAAGTGCACTGCTGAGGAGCAATGGGCGAAACAGGAGAGGTCTGCTGCACCTTGTGGGTCAACTCCCTGGCTGGTGATCCAATTCATGCTGCAGTGGATAGCTTCATAGTGCTGTGCTTAAACCTTGCACCACCATGGTGGCCCAAGTTTACTACATTTTATAGATGATAATGAGGAAATAAATTAACATTGGGTTGAGGTAAAGACCTACTCCAAAGTTCAAAAATGGAAAAGCTTGGCTCCAGCACTCTCATTCTTACTTTTTCAGCTCTTCTCTCCTCTAACCCCAGTGTGTCTGACTGTTAGGTCTATTGTGGAAGCTTACACAGGTTTTTCAAAGTGTGATGGTCTCAGAACAGTGACAAAGTCATAAAACTTAGCTTCCTTTTGGGGGACAGGAAGGACTTTGTATATGTCCCTTTAAAACCAACTGATTGTAATTTCTCCTAAGATAATGACAGTTTCATATAAAATTGAAGCTTAATGGAGAACCCTGGAAGTATATATAAATGCAATTATAGAAGAATTTAATCTTTGGGTAAGTTGTTAACCATTATTACTAATTATACAAACTACTGTTTAAATATGATACACATCCTCTTATTTGCTTCTCATTACAGCCCTGTGAGATGAAAGACAATTAATATAGTTCTTTCACAGTTTAAATTATTAATATTATCTAGCAAGTGGCAGTGAGAGGATCCTAACTTAGGACACCAAATACTATTTCTTCATTCCAATCTTTTTCCTCCATCACTTTGCCTTATTTATTGGCTTGTGTTGAGGGTAAGTATTATAATGAACAAAACTAATCCTGTAACTCTAATCCTGGTTGATGCTCAGACTCTCAAGGTGCCTTATTCTAGATAACCTCAAATAGGGTATATTTATTAGTGAAATAAGGACCATAAACAGTGTTGCTACAAAATTTCTCATTAAGTTTTAGCAAAGATCATAGAGATTAGAATTTCAAATTACTCCCTGATATCTATTAGCCCTAGACCATGGATTTTTATCTGAGAAGCTTTGGACAAAAGGTATTAGCTGGGAGTGAGTTTATATCTGCAGAATGGTAGCTAAAACTCGAGGTTCGTATCTTTTTAATGGAGACAGCAGATGGCAGACTCAGACCTACACCTGGTGGGCAGGTGTTCTCAACACATTTGATACTGAAAACTGATCAGTGAAAAGTCTGACTCACTCCACCCAGAACAGCCTTCAGGAAACACTGGAACCTGAATAATTAGCTTCGCTGGATGCTTAACTTTATCTGTATCTAGTCTACTCACTGAACTCTTGATGGTTTTAAACTCCGCCTATAGTGTATTGTGTTAAAATCCACTAATAACACATGACTCCTGAGTTTTTATGGGTTATCCACTACGGAGTAGAGTACAATTTTCCTTAAAGAAAATTTTGTAGAAAAGGAGATGTCTACTCCCAACAGACACTGAAGCTTAAGGAACAAAGTTCTGTACTCTATACTCTGTAGAAGAGAGTAATGTGAGTGTTCTCCAGGAAATTCTACAGCTCTGATGAAAATTAAAAGACGATTCAACGTTTCGGTTTTGTTTGTCCGATTCACCCAGTAGTGAGGATCAGACAGGGTGCCGCGTTTCCCGGACTCAGTCGCGCAGAAACGCGGGCCAGCGCGCAGCCAGCAAGCTGCCCGCGCCGGCCCCAGCTCACGTCCCGCCCCTGAGTTACCGGCGCCCGCGCCTGAGGCTCTGCCTTCTCCACTTCCTCTTCCTTTTCTTTCTCCAAGGCTGCTGCCGTAGTTGCCCGGTCGTCTACGGAGTCTTTGCTTTTGGGTTGGGCTGCCAGCGCTCCGGTGGTGGGATTTATCGGGCTTTGGTGCCTGGAGACCGCCGGCTTTCCAGCTCCGTGTGAGGCGGCCATCACCGCGCCGCCTAGGCCTGAGCGCCCGCGCTGGCCTGGGGCGGGGAAGCAGGCACAGCCTCAGGCTACCGAAGCCTCAGGTTTGGGGGCAGGCGGTTACTAGGGGCGCGGTAACTAGGGACGGTACGGTGGCCACTAGGGACCAAAAGTCATCCTGTCCGCACGCTGCGGAAAACCCAACTTTGCTTTTGCATAGGAGTTGGTACTGAGTCTATTTGCTGTTCTAAAGGTTGCACGAAAAAACAGATCACCTCTTCTCCTTCGCTCCTCGCCGTCTAAACGCAAATCCTCATATTATTCTAATGAAGCAACTCGTTCTGTGGAAAAAGTGCATTTCCATTCATTAAATCCCAGTGGCAGCCGACAGTGACAAGATTGGCATCCCGCCGCTTACTTTGGTTCCCCCGAGAATCAGAGAATGGGAAAGAGCGTAGTACATTCTACTCAGATTTATTTGGGAGCCAGCAGAAATCGCCCAATACGAAAGAGGTTGCCTGCCAGTGTTCCGAGAGCTGGATAGAGCCTGGCCCACACACGAGTAGGTCACAGGCTTTAGGTGCTGTGGTGGTAGAGTTGGAGGGTTACAAGCAACCAACAGTAACCACAGGTACACTCAATCTCGCCTTACTTCCATCAACATTTCTTACTCAGGATTTCATTTCGGTGCTTCATATGGCTTCTTCCCTCTATTCGGCTTAATTGTAAGAGAGACCTCGCCTGGAAATAGGCTTACTGCAGTCTCAACACCTGCTACCCAGCTCCCGCTTTCTGAGGTTGAGACTGCCACTCCGGATAGTTCAGTCTTCTATCACCTCCACCTCACCCCACATTTATCCTGTCTTTCCCACCAAAAAATTAGGGTATGTTAACTATTTTTGGAGCGCACGTTCTAGAACCCATTTCTAACCCTGCTTACCAAGTTTTCCTAGAATGCAAGTCCTGAGTGTGAACACCTACAAAATGCCCCACTCTCCCACTTCCTTCAGGCCATATTCTTTGACTGAGCATATACTTCTACATTGGAGTAGATGATGGCTGCATTCTGAGCAATAGTCAAAGCTGGAAACCCATGAGGTATATGGACACATGAAGTAATCAGAGTAAGGACTTCCAGTCATTCATGTTCAGTGGGTTCTGTTTCTACACATGAGAGCTGGATGCAGAAACAGTAAGACATGCAAAGCTGCTGAAGCACTGCAAGAAAATTAGAACCAAAGAACAAAGAATAGAGTAGAATAGAACAGAACAGAACAGGAGATGGATTGTAGCACAAAACTTATATAAAAAAAGGAAATATACTGGGGCCTCCCTGGTGCTGCAAAGGGTTGTCTCAATGCTGCCAATATCAGCTACTGTAGCAGGAATTCCATCCCCAGCAGGGCCCTAACCCACATGGCACAACAGCAGACCTGTCCTGTCTCACCTGCTGTTCCCTTCAGCAGTGGATCTTCCTGTTCTGCTCTCCACGCTGTCTCTAGTGAATCCTGTTACCCACCGCACCTGTGGCCTATACCCCATTTTTATATGTATAAATAAAATCTTAATATATATATAAATATAAACTTTACTATAACTTCAAACAATTGCTTCTTTCAGAATGTTTTCATAGGTTTTTGCTGAATTTTTGTATCTAGTCAACCTAAGGTTGCAAATGATTAACACAATAATTCAAAAAAAAAAAAAAAGTCACTAAAACGATAATCAACAGGCCCTCCCTGGTGGCGCAGCGGGTTAAAGCACTGCACTGAGAAGCTTAAGCCACTTCC